ATTTTGATAGTACCGGTAGTAGAAGAGAGTACGAATTGCTCTCTTTGAAGTCGAAATAGAAATACAGTAGTTCTTTCAGACTCACATCCTCCAGCTGGCACTGCGTATACCAAGATGATCTTATAATGTAGAATGAAATGTGATTAAATATGTATTCTCACCTGTCTTATAAAACGTTTACATTGTGATTTTTTAAAACTATTAATCTCAGTTATTATTGTGTTAGCTGGGTTTCCCATACATGAAGTTATGTAAAACTTTACAACGCTTGCAGAAAATCTGAGCAGCTGGTGCAAATCTGGAAAGCGCTTGCCACTCGGCAAAATCTGGAGATTGTTGGCTTGCTAACGACAGGTCCACGGAAGTAACAAGACCAAGATCTGAACAATTCCCTGTGGAAAACATTGTAAAAATCACGGTCATTGAATGCCTTAGGCCAAGAAACATAAATAAAATAAATCTGTGTTTGAATGAAGTTCTACAACGTTGTTCGGATTTCTTGTTTTGGGCCGGTTGAAAACCCTCCGATTTGATTTGGCCTCTACAAATTCTTCTGATATACGGGCTAATATTTTTATGTTATTGTTACGTTTATAATTTGCGGTACCGAATTGGTCGACGACTTCTCTCATTCTTCCTATATCCAAAGTCCCTTCAGCTTCAACGCCTCATTGAGCGGAGAGCGGCTCACGGCTGTAGGCGCCAAAACAACAATGCCGCGCCCGACCCAAGTCACTCCGCCGTGCGGCTTCCACGAACACGGCGCGGCGTTGCCACATCTCCGCTGCAACGTTGCCACATCGTGCACCCACGCCTACCCGACCCTGTGAATGCGCGGTTTCAAAATCCGGCAGTACCCACAATACAGGAGTAGGAAGTACCGGAACGTCCTGGATCGAAAATTATTAGGGATTATATTCATGTGTTTATAAGTAGCCTAATTCGTACTACCAGTGTACAGTATATCTTAACGTTTCGTATTATTGAACCAACAATAAAATGCTGTAGGTTTACTGTAGTATTTTCCAAAACAGCATGGGCCAACGGCCCACAAATATCCTATTAGCTGGTAATTTATGTAGGCATATGCGAGTTGTGGGTATACAAGTTAACTTCAACATTATTGTAGTTAACATATTTTTTTCTTTATTTATTTTTATTTCCAACGGTAGGCCTAAAGTGGTTGAAATTTACACTACATTTCGATAATCTTACAAAGTCTTTCCTAAGCCCTACAAGTGAGTAACGATGTTCACAACCCCAACTCTCTGTTTCCATTAATCCAGCAAATAATAAAATGTGCATGTCACTTTACCGTATGATCAATCAATTATTTATAGGTCTACAAAGCCGTGATGTTTAAACACGCCACAGCTAAAAGCTGGTAACGACAATAAGGGCAATTTTACTTAACAATTATATAATTTTTGTCATCTAAAACTCACCCAATTAACAAAAACATGTGTGCAAAACGTCAAATTGGTGTGTAGCATTGACAAATCAATAGCCTACTGTAGACAGTCAACAATTATGTTACTCTTTGGAAGATCTTTTAAAAACTAAATTTAATATTTAGAAAAAAACTAACGCTAGGATTTAATTACTGGTTCCCCTCTGGGGGAAATGGCGATTTATTTTATAATTTAAAAATATATTTCCCTGATAACGAACTAACTAAAACGCCTCAAGTAATATAAAACATTTAATAATTGTCAATTAATTGATTTTTGTTACCAGCAAATAAGGAATGATAATTGTCTTATTTTATTCGTTAAAATTCAATACCAATAAACAATCGATAATTTTCTGTTTACTAGAATATAGGGGCCTACTATAAATATTCCTATTAAACAAGGAGAAATCATTTTATTACAGTATTTAATACTGTTAACAATGAATAGTAGCCTACAGTGAGTCCACATTATAGATGAACAACATAATATATACCGTCAGAAAATTAATTTGAACCAGTTAGGTGTGTTTCCTTTTAGTTAAAAAAAAATTTGTACAGTACCACCATCGATGTATGTACTCCCGTTACCACTGTTTTGGTGAGCGGAAACTATAAAGCACAACAACAAAAACAGGGCATTCAATAAATGAATGAGGGCCTGTCAGCATTTTCCATCAATAATATTGTGCTTTTCTTTAGAAACGCGGACGCGAAGAATCGCCCGCTTCCGCGACCGACGGACGGTATATTTCTGGATAACTTTGTCATAGGAAATAAAAAAAATGTCAACCACTTCAGCATTCATTAAATATGAATTAACTATAGACGAATCAAAATAATTCGAGTGCCGCTGAGAGTACATTAGCCACTAGAGTTAGGAATTTACGAAACAAATGTTGTAAAAGTGTCAAAATATTTATATTATACTGTGCAGTTCAATTACCTTGCTAACTTTCAGTTGTACAAGGTTTTATGTATTATTTCTCATGAAATTATTCGTATCACAAGTTTTTTTCGTAATTTTAGACCAAACTATTCATTAATCATTGTTTCCATTTTACAAAATAGCCTACATATTCGAATTTAGGAGATATTATGTTGTTTAAAGCTTTGTATGACCCCGTTAAAATTTAAATTAATGTAAATCCGAAAACAAGTAAATAAACTGAATAAGTTATAACCATATACTGTAACAATCTCAAAACTTTTACAGACACGTTTAGCATCTCCATTCATACTTGGCTTAAAATACCTACTTTGTATGGTCGCCATTTAATAAAAAAATATTAAAAGTAAAGTAAAGTAAAACAGTGGTTAGCAGCTACACGTAATGTTGATAACAACTGTCATTGTTCCTCTTTGTATTTATTATAATTAATCTATTATAATTTATTATAAATATTAACATTTGAGACAATTGCCCTTCGCCAAAATGGGCTTTTTATTACAAGATATTGCAGACATAGATACTACAGTTTTTTGGTTTTTATGGTTTCATACATACACCATTATAGTAGGCTACATAAACTTATGGTTTTTTGTAATTATGAAGATTGGCCATATAAGTTAAGCGGTGTTCCTGTTACAATTATAATGGAGATAAAATTTTTATTGGTGAACTTTTTGCGCTGATTTCATGGGTCATTCAAACGAATTTAATATCAGTGTTATTGCTACAATCTGTAAGTCATTGCGCTATATTTCTGGAATAGTGCACTGTGGACAAATAATGATAAAGAACTAACCTCTGTACTGTTTCAATTGTCACTTTGACGGCTATGTGTTCTGATAGGGACCCGCCCAAATGTATTATCAAACAATGATAAGATAAGATAGAGCTGCCGGCGGGGTTTCTTGTGGCATTTGTGGAAAGAAATAAATACCGTTGTATAGGCCTACAATCAGTTCTGTATTTTGTATAGGCTACACCCCAAAATGTTACATTGTCCTTACCGTTGTATTCGACAAATATGTTCTGTATTTTGTTTATAGGCTAAATTCCAAAATTTTACATTGTCTTCGTTTTACCCTTGAATATTAATAAAATTGTCCTTCCTAATTGTAATTACGCTGACTATTAAGTTAAATACAAGGAACTCAATTAACTCTTTTGAAAAACTTGGAAAACGTTGCTCTGTATTTGAAAACCTACTCTTTCGGACAGAATGTATAGATTTCTTAGCATAACATCAAAAATATTAAACCAAAATATTGCTTTAAGTCACCCGGCAAGTGACAACTTTCTTCAGTGTTTCTCTACAATTTCAAAACTTACTTATTAGTAAAGTAGGCTATTCTAATCACAAAGAGAACAAACAAGTACACAGGGCCAGGGTACATTACAAAATGCTTAAAAATATAAATTGTCCAAAACATTGACTTTTTCTATAGTCAAAAATAAGATAACACTATCCTAAACTTAAATTACTTCAGTTGTGTAAATTTGAAAACTACTCGAAAGCAAATAGGAGTTTGCGCCGGGGGTACATTTTTCGGAGGGAATCCAACATGCTCCAATTTTACGAAACAATACAATTTTAACAAAATTGTAGTTAACCATAATCGGACAACCAACCATGCAATTTAGTTAATATTTGGTTGTCATTAGAATTGAGCGCCCGCAAAAATAGAGAAATTTGCGTTTCGGTGACTCCATCAATTACTAGGCTACTGTAGCCTATACGAATGCCTTTTGAAAATACCCAATATTTATCGCAAACGGCTGCACAGTGTTTGCGAAATTTTGTGTTTGCCGGTTTAAATATGTGCAATCAACACAAAGCTATGACTTATTAACCGGGTTCGTTTTTGACAATTAAAGGTCTATTAAAACAAATGACGATTTACTCGTACGGACATCAAGTAAAGTTTTGCTTCTCCAAAGACATGATGAGCATGCCTACAAAGAATATGGAAACAGCAAAATTGTACCACATGAAGTGAGTCTATACTCAGTCTTTGTATTGAATCGGGCCGGAGCTCTACCCGCTTGCGCTTGAGAAACAGAAAGCGAGAAAACAGTACCTACCCACAGAGAAGTAATTACTTCTCTGTGACCTACCCTAATTTCCCTTGATATTATACATATTAAATTATTGGCCTTTTATACAGGCTAGTTTTCAACTCTTGTTGCGATTGTCTATTAACATTCGTAAGTAAAATATGCTGTTCCTCTATTGGACTCAGATTTCAGTATTTCTCCTGAAAAAGAAATAAAAATAAGAAAAAAACAGCCAGCAAGTTGAGCAAGCAGTAGGCTACTACTGTATGCAATTTATTTTAAGCATTTAATAAACGATCCTATAACCCTCCGAGACATAAACCAAGGAAAAAATGTTAATCTTAAGAGTTTGACTTCGTAGTACTTTGTAGGCCTTATTAATGTAATGGGTTTGGATGCACAAATCATTTATGATTTTAAAGTTAACTAGTATGAGCTATCCTAGCAGCTACATTGAAGGGATGTGGTTTTTATTACAAAAGGCCTAGAGCCTATTTGAAAAGCAACAATAATCTATCCTCCTAACTGAAATAATCAGAAACTTACGATAACAATTGTATCCAAAACAGAACAACTTGACTCCGCTAGCACTTTTACTATCACTTTATGTCACTTCACTTCTTACACTTGACGAAAATGTACCGTATTAATTACTTGTCGTTTTATGTAGAATGCGCGTACGCGGCGATATAACTTGAAACGAATCTCTACCCGAACTGTTGTTGGCAGTTTAGTTGAGTGAGAAGAAAAGACTTCGGACAAGTTCGTGCGAGTTCGGACTTCTCCGTGCGAAGGGGGCGTGGTAAACAACCTATAGGACTGCCTACCATACCATGCTATTACGTTCAAGTGCTTTTTGTTCGATCCATGCATTATTTATTAATGGTACAGTAAAACTTTAATTCGCCGCGCCGCTAATAATAATTATTATACATTTCTACAGCGACAGTAAACTAGTACTGGTTTGAAGGTTTCTATAAATTTTACAAATTTCTTCCCAGATTACTTTTTATGCGCAATTTATGCAATACAATAATTCAATTTATTTTTTACTAGTGGAACCCCGTCGAAATCGACGGTTAATCTTGAGGTTTTATGTAAATTCAGCTAACTGCGATAGATAGAGTAATTAAAATCTTAGTTAAATGAAGGGAGGATAAGCATAATAATAAGTATGACGATTGTGTTCCCTAAAATACGTGATTGTTGAATTCGTTTAACACAATATTTCCTACCTTTTTATCGGATTTAGGTTGCCCAAAAGGTTTTTAGGAGTCTTTATAATTGTTTGTTCATGAGTTTGTTTCATGTCAAAGCCACTTTCACTATATGGGAGAATGAGTTCATATAATTAGTCTATCATCTTACGGAAAGAGTCAATATTTATTACTAACAACTAATTCCATCTGCTTTAGAAAAATCATTCAGATTGTATCCAGATTTATAAGTAAATCTTCATCTTTGGTCATAAAATACAGAATTTTATCAACATTTAAATAAGTTTTTTTTATTTGATAAAAATATCTGATTCTCCAGATAGCAGTAACATTTCTTACTTCGATCTAAGCAATTTTAATTCCTTTTCTTGCCACATCGACCCATGTATTTAATCATCCTGTTCTTACTTGATAATTCATTAACTTGTGGGGTAGTTTTGCCTGGCCATATCGACCACATAAAGCTGTGCATGTTTTTCGTGGATGGAATGAACCATAATTGTAGGAAATTTGATCACAAATCTTGAACATTTGCGGAACCAAATCCATAACCTAGTCCAGCCTTGGTAACAAATTATGCAAATGCGATGAGATGTGATGACACTGTTGTGTTTCCGAATGTTTTGTATGTAGTGAGCTTTAGATGCGTTGTTCGACCTAGCTACATGTGTACATCAAAATAAAAACCCTGTAGGCCTACACATTTTTTTAAATACCTGAATTGGCATTAGTTCACCTACTTCACCAAAACCATAGATGAAACATACTCCAGTCTATTCCAAAACTTGAACACAGCTCTCATCCTCAACGTTAGTTACTCATCTATGACACAATTTTCAACCCGATTATCGAAAACTGTCATACCAATAAATGAATTACTGGTGTTCTTTCTTGAATTCAAAAATAAATGGTGATTAAAGTAGGAAAAAAAGGCAAGTGCCAACCTTAAAATATATATAAGCTAACCCGATAAGGAATAATTAAATGTTCCTTTGAAAATGATATGTCACTCTTATTTCATAATTTAAAATTTTCTAAGAGCAATAAAGCATAGATTTTTGAACAAAACATTTAAAACGTATCATAAATTCATCATTTTGTTGAAACTATAAAAAACTTGCCATGCAGTGGAGAATCAATTTAAAATCATAAATAATAATGTAAACATTTAATTTTGACAGTTTCAGTAGACCTTTGAATACAATTTTAATATTAACAGCTGGTTCATTAAAAGTAGTGTAAAATTATCCATATGGTCATAATGTAAACAAAATTGCTGAGTGAACTTTAAAGGCCTCTGGGGCAGAGCCCCAAGGAAATTTACCTCGTTTCTCTTTTGAGGGCTCACCTACAGACCAATACCTTTCTTTAGACACCCCTACCAAGTTTCTACACCCAGCCGTTCTCTCAAATTAGCTGTGACAAAAACCCCGTTTTCCTCCATAAGAATAACATGGGATGGGACTTTAAAGGCCACTGGGGCAGAGCCCCGAGGGAATTTACCACGTTTCTCTTTTGATGGCTCATCTGCAGACCAAGACCTTTCTTTAGACACCCCTACCGAGTTTCTACGCCCAGCCGTTCTCTCAAAATAGCTATGACAAAGAAAAACAGTTTCAAATTAATATATAGATGTTTGGGTCCCAGTCTAAGTAAGAATACAGCTAACAATGGTCGATAGGCTAGTATAGATAATTTTGATTGTGCGTAGGTGAAAACGTTTCAAGATTTTGTAGGGCCTTTTTTAGTTCACACAATCTACCAATACAAAATTATTGAACAAAAGGTTAAAAATGAATTTTTACTCCATGAGTCTACGCATTCTAAATTAAGCTCAAATACAAGCAGTATACCGAGCAAAATCAATAAATCAGACAAAATGATCGGTTTTCAATCATGAACAAGAACAAGTATATATAATTGTCTTAGTAGTATTCATATATGCCATAAATAAACAAAGCAGTTCTTCTTTGCTTGAAACGCAAGTGTTTCCCATAAAAAAATGTGCGTAATAATAGGTAAGTTATTTTCAGATGGACTCACCAAATGATTTTAAGCTAGAATGGTACATGCTCCTCTATGGAATTTGTTGGCCTCTGTCGTTTGAAAAACAATAAGTCAAAACTGGAATAAAATATTATGATGTTTATAATAAATCTTTTTCCCGCGGGTTTTGCAGCTATGTCGATGTTATTTAAAATACCTTTGATACATCGCGATGAATATGCTGATGGGGTGATATGAAAAGGTAGGCGAGTTTCCTCTTCATTATTTACAGACCCATCATTGTTTATATTATTTAATCCTGTAGGCCTACGGCACACCATCATTCAAAAAAGAATATCTTCGTTGCTTCTTGTAGATTATATCAGAGCATTTCTTGCTGATGACGTAGTAATCTTCCTACTGATGACTCGGCTCCGTCAAGATAAGGTATCTCAATTAACGAGGAATTCAACTCTGCGTTGCCAATGTGAAGCAAGTCATTAAATCAATCAACGCGAGCTAATGCAGTCGTTATTATTTGTCAAAAGTAAATCGAAGTAACCCCCATCAAAAGGACTAATAATAATATAGTATAATAGCTATATGTGCATTAGTAAAATGTATTGGTGAGGAATCTTTCACTTTTACGAGGTAACGTGTCAAACTAACTGTTAAATTCGTTCGCGTAGTTATCAGGATGTGATCTATATGTATAAATAACGAGTATTTGTTAAACCATAAAGTACACAACAACAAATAATAAAGACCAACAAAAATATACTATACTATGGTATTTGCGGGTAGTATAGTATACTTTTGTTAGTCTTATCGCGTAAATTTACCATTATTATTAGACACGTCCATTTTGTTGTTATTAGAGATTTTTCCAAATTTATTGTAGTTCTTGGGTCTTAATTCAGTATTTATTGTCAGCTTTATAATTTACTAGCTGTACCCGCGGGCTTTGCCCCGTTTAACTTCTTAATTTTCAAGATGATCTCGTTCGCATGGCTCAATCACGTCCTGGTTGAAGTTCGTTCGCTACGCTCACACACCTTTAGGTTGGAGCTCGTTCGCTGCGCTCACTTGCCTTCAGGTTAGCTCGTTCGCTACGCTAACTCGTCTCCAGGTTGAAGTTCGTTCACTACGCTCACTCACCTTTTGATTGCAAATTAGCTGTTGTCATAAATTAAAATAAATAATAGTGCTGCACCCTGTTGGTAATCCTTGTAACTTTAATGCTATTGAACATCATAGAACAGAACCAACTTGTTTATTTGAAACAGCTGTTAAGATTCATTTATTCCTTTTAAATATGAAAAATCATAAGGCTAACATGGGAAACTCCAGAGCCACTGGGGCGGAGCCCGAGAGTCCGATCAGAATAAAAACAACTTAGTTTTCCTATTTAATGCCTAAAGAATCAATGTACCAAATTTTAGCCTCCTAGGTAAATGGGAAGTGGGAGAATTAGTGATGAGTGAGTGAGTGTGTCAGTGAGTCAGTGAGGGCTTTGCTTTTATAAGTATAGATTACTAGCTGTACCCGCGGGCTTTGCCCCGTTTAGCTTCATATGTGAGCTCGTTCGCATGGCTCAATCACGTCCTGGTTGAAGTTCGTTCGCTACGCTCACTCACCTTTAGGTTGGAGCTCGTTCGCTGCGCTTACACGTCCTGGTTGAAGTTCGTTCGCTACGCTCACTCACCTTTACGGTTGGAGCTCGTTCGCTGCGCTCACTTGCCTTCAGGTTAGCTCGTTCGCTACGCTAACTCGCCTCCGGGTTGAAGTTCGTTCGCTACGCTCACTCACCTTTTGGTTTTCAAATTAGCTGTTGTCATAAATTAAAAAAATAATAGTGCTGCAATCCAATAATAATGATAATAATAATAATAGTGTTGCAATAATAGTGTGTAATCCTTGTAACTTTAATGCTATTGAACATCACAGAACAGAAATAACTTGTTTAATTGAAACAGCTGTTATGATTCATTAATTCCATTTAAAGATGGTATGGGTACTCATTAGGTTAACATGGGAAACTCCAGAGCCGCTGGGGCGGAGCCCGGGAGTCCGATCAGAATAAAAACCACTTAGTTTTCCTATTTAATGCCTAAAGAATTAGTGTACCAAATTTCAGCCTCCTGGGTAAGTGGGAAGTGGGAGAATTAGTGATGAGTGAGCGAGTCAGTCAGTCAGTCAGTGAGGGCTTTGCCTTTTATTATAGACTAGCTGTAACCCGCGGGCTTTGCCCCGTTTAACTTCTTAATTTTCAAGATTATCTCGTTCGCATGGCTCAATCACGTCCTGGTTGAAGTTTGTTCGCTACGCTCACTCACCTTTAGGTTGGAGCTCGTTCGCTACGCTCACTTGCCTTCAGGTTAGCTCGTTCGCTACGCTAACTCGCCTCCAGGTTGAAGTTCGTTCGCTACGCTCACTCACCTTTTGGTTGCAGTTGTCATAAATGTAAAAGAAATAATAGTGCTGCACCCTGTTGGTAATCCTT